ATTCGCCATCTTGTCGAAGTTTTAAGCCACATACATTAAAGGAGGTGGAGTTAAGAATATTACAAGAAATAAGAACAGGCCACGTTTTAAATTATTAGACATTATTTATGTATTAAACAAAATTAAACTTATGTAACTAAAATAGTAAGTTTAAATTTAAATCGGAGCCATATTTTGAGATACAATATCAATAATGCGTATCAATATGGCCTAAATTTGTATTAGTTCAAATGTTAATATATCCGCTGATTAGAATATGCTTTATCTGATTAAACAGGAGTGCGGCTGAACCGTCGATATTGTAGCCAATTACAAATACCATCACATCGCAGAAATAATCAATTCAAAATGCATAATTAAATAGTTGCTTTATCGAATGTTAATATTTATTTTAAATTAATTAAATTCTCTTATTTGGTGATGGCGATATTCGGTATCGTGCAATTAGTCTGAGATTTGACAGAACTGTCACCAGATTTAAATTAACAATCTACCCACATTACAGTACTAAAATAGGTTATTAAATAACTCTGCTTGTACTGAATTCGAAAACTTCGACGTTTTTCATTTACCATATACAAATGCTATGTTCATAGCTATATGTATATACCGTGACGCTGCTCCGGATATATCTATTTCAGTTATCGAGGTTATGCAACTAAAGTAAACATTGCTATGAATGTGCAGTCCCGCGGTACGAAAGAGCAATATGTGAATGTTAGTTTTAGTCACAGAAATTATCTAGATTTCTATAGCAATTTCATGAAATTATTCTTTTATTAAAATTATTGTCCGTCGAAAATTATCTTTGTTTTTAATTAAAACTCTCTATAAAGTCAGTAACCATTGTTTTACATAAATTTCGTCGAGTTAATCATAATACCACAGGATATATATTGGTACATAAGTAACATGGCGGTTTATAGGTTTTAAACATTAAATTTACGAAAATAATTTCTCGCTAATGACATTATTAAATATAAATATGAAAGTTTTAAGTAAAACATCAGTTCATTTTAAAACCAAGTGAATGTATGTGAATCATTTCACTAATTTCTCTTAAATTGAATGTACATATTTGTTCGTCGACGTTTTAAAAGTTATGATAAATCGTAATATAATTTTTAACGACCAATAAATAGTCATGAAAAAACATACAGTAGTTTCATTTGTACGAAATCATCTTTCATAAGCGAAAGTTCTTAGCACATGTGATTACAAATTATTTTATGAAAGTCTAGTTAATGTGATTTTATAATAGAAATCGAGTGCTATTATCGAGATATTTATGGAGTGTTTTAAGGAAATCCTGTGCAACATTCGCGAGTCCCGTGACGTCACCCGGACGCAGCTGGGCTTGGGAGAGTACAGCCCTCCTGTAGGCTGACATTGAAAGCCAATCATAATGAACTTGACATAGACACAGTTAGAAATATTTTCCCATCATTAATCAATGCTATGACGGTCATTTATCTCCAGGTTTGTATCTTGATAATGACGCCAATTTATTGTGTATTTATCTATAATCATTAAACCAATCTGACCTTTAGTTTCTTTATTACATTTTCGATTTATTTTATCGAGGTAACTAAATCCATAGTCATGCGGCACGTTTAAGTTGACTAGTGAAAGCGAACAATGTATTTGTGGCAAGCAAACAACTCTCTTATTCACCATTTTTGTAATTCACGTTTAATTTAAAATTGTTAACTCTATTACTAATAGACACCCGCATATATAGACAAGTCATTGGTTACATAAATTTCAATCAAAGATATTTCTATTCATTATTTATATTATTACATTTATTTTGATATAGATACATTTGTTTCGGTATCAAAATAACAAAATGAAAAAAAGCAAAAGAACAAAAAGAAATTGTAAATAATATTTCGAAAAGAATTTAAATTTTAATAAAAAAATATATATATTATAATATGAAAAATCATGCAACTTCTCAAACAAGACTCTTATCGAGCTTCTTCTTGTAAATTGTTCAGTCTTTGTACATATTTGAAATTTAATTCAAATAAGCTTATATTAATTTAACATTATCTAAGACTTTCGGAAGAATTCATTTTATAAGACTAATATTTTAGGACGTAAGCGTTTTTTATTATAACTACATACGTTATCACGATTGCTGCATAATAACCGAAACGTCGGGAGTATGTAGTTGAAACTAATAAAATATCTAAATTTCATGCGAAAATATTAGTTTTATTTATATTGACTTTAAAACTTTATTGTAAAAATAAACATACTTTTTATTAAAACTAAATCCCACGTATAGGAAACACAATATATATGTATATATATTATAGTATTCATATATAGGAATGGTAATTTAACCTTTATTTGTAGTGAACATTATTAGAGACCAACTAATTGCTTGTGACGTGTCGGTTACAACACGGATGAGCTAATGAATTCACGACTTTGACAACATCACAACCGCATAGTATAAACTAAATATTCCTAGCATCACAATGATGAACAGGTATGTATATAGAATTATTCGTGTATTCTCAGCGTTATATTTGTTTTGTGTTTCAAATTATTTGTTAAACGGCTAACTATTAAATACTCTTCAGTTTTTATTACGATATTTCTTGAGTTTGGAGAAAATTGTTTTCATTCATGTGTTAAATACGAAAAAATTGTCTTAGAGATATATTTTTAGAAATGAAATAAATATGTTATAAGATGAAGTATAAAAGAACGTTACATAAAATGCGAAAGGAGCCAAGAAGTTTTCTCACAAAATTAGGTATCATAAACTGATCTAAAAATTTAATCTTCGTAAACTTAAACCGTTTATAACTTTACACATCTTGGAAATAAAAATACTACACAATAAAGATAGCGAGGAAGACAATTGGAGGCAAAATATTTTAGAATTTTATAATATTATTAATTTATAATTTTATATGCACTTGTAACAGTTACTTTGCTATATAAACAGAAGCCGCAAGATCTCAAAGCACTTACTACGTGTGGTGAGATGCTGTCACAATTTGAGTTCACGAGTTCGATCGAGAGGCTTACTTTGGCGGTGCTTTAAAACAGATTTGTTGGCGGACGGATCTGGAAGGAAGCGAGGCAGGTCGGTGTAATCGTAAGACTAGTTTAGGGTCCCCGTCGCGTCTAGACGGCGGCTCGGATCCCTATCGGTAGCGGGAAAATTATGTGACGTGAAAATATATTTCGATCGACAATCTACTTTACAGGTTTGGCGGATTTATCATCAGAGATTTGATTGTTAGATAATAATGATACCGATTGTTATGTATAATGTATTGTCAACTGTTGACGTGTTATAATGATGAATTGTGGTTGCAATTTCAATTAATGATAATGTATTTATTCCCATTAAATGGAACTCGCATTATTTTGTTGTAAAATATTCCTGTGTTTTAAGTTACGTAATATTTTTTTAGAATTTGTAATAGATCTTGGCTCAAGTCTTATAGGTGTTTGTGAAGTTTTTATGGTCTTTATCGAAATATAATAAAATTTGCCTCCAAACTCCGCCATAAACCAGCTCTGTGTATAAAACAAATTCTAAAACATGGTTTTCTGTACAAAAGCCCATAACCTGCAATGCGACATTAATAAAAGGCATTTTAAAAGCAGTATTCGAAAACACTTATTCGTAAATTTATTTTTATTCTGTATAAATATTATAAATAAACTCCACTTATTCATGTTCATATAGTTTTAAATTTCAATACTTCGACATGAAATATTTTTGAAATATTATTCTGTTTATTTATGGAATAAAGACTAAGAGTTTAATATAAGAAAAATATATCGAAGAATCTTTTCTAGCGAAGTTTCTAAACTTTAAAATCTCAAAGGTAAAAAACACCTGCTACTTGAACAATGGATCCTTAGTCCTTACTCTAATAAAACACTATTAGGGTCGATAAATAGATTTTGTAACAGCGAGACATGTGAAAGCCGGTACAAACAATAGCAATCATCTGATCTAAGAGGCTACACAATGCATTACAAAACAAGTTGGTAAATATGTCTCGGAGAGAGTGTTAAGTGGCGAAACTGCTCTACAATGGAGGCATTATCAGCGGTTGGTTGCCGCATATCAGCCATAGGTCATCGTCGCAACCTTTCACCGCTGTTTCTAAATAGTGTATTTAAATAAAACTATCTATTATTAAAAGTAAACATTATAAACGTTTCAAGATTATAATAAAGGAATGTTTTTATATTTATCTTATACACAATGATTACCTATAGTGAAATGATATTACTTAGAAGTAACTAGTTTGTAATTTATTTAATACGATATCCCTAGACCAATGAATTTAAATATTTATCAGTCTCAGGACTGTTTAAATACAACCCTAAATAGTTAAAGAGTAAACTTTACGCTATTTGAAAATTTATTTACTTCTGTAATTGGATTTCAAGTTAATTGTTATTCAACTTTTTCTGTCCGTTCGAAATGAAATACTGGTTCGTTATATTTTCTTTGTCTTTATTAAATTATGTAAGTTATTAATCGTACAGTTATAATTTATTATAATACAATTCAATACGAATGTTTATATTTTCATATTAACATTTTTAGATTTCAGCAAAATCAGATAGCGACGAGGATTATTTTGAAGGTAGGTATTTGGAAATGGGAATATTTTTTTTCAAATAAAGGTTACGTAAATTTTGTAAGCATGTTATGTTTAAAATATAAATATTCAATAGAAAATAATATAGGCTTTATAGTACATTATTTCATCCAAAAATAATACTGGTATACATTTTATGTACACAATGCGGTTTTGGCACTACATTAATTGGAAGTAACTCGAGATCCATTAACGACTCATGAAATGCTTATTCCGAACATTCACCGTTCACACGGCTTGTAATGCACTACCATTTTTCCGATATCACTTGAAACGGTTAAATTAGAAATGAGAAAACGTAAATTGCATAAAGATATATAAAATAATTACATAGATGCCGGAGAGAAAAAAATGTCAGAAATCAAAGGCGAAGATTACAGTAGCGGAGATCAAGATAGAAATATAACGTTCCTTCAGGGTGATGTAGATTCTAGTACGTAAGATCTGACACATTAATATCGACTTAAAGAATCGAGTAATAAAATCTATATTAATATGATTATATATTTAACAGAGAAGCGGTCTATTATGACCGGTGAGTATTATACTATTAAATCCTGACCTGTTTTCCCATCACATTCGTTTCTCCTGAATTCAATGAGATATATGAAATTGATACTCCGAAATAGACAAGCTTTGTATCAGCCATTTTATAAATTGAATCCGTCAGTCCATAGCTTCAAAACAGCACAATAATGGACACGTCACTATGTCACTATGGTTTTACTTTATATGATACATTATTTTGAATTTCACAGGAGATACTTTTACACCTCGTGACATGTTACCGATAGCGGAGAAATTAATAAAGAAAGGTAAATAAAATATAATAAATATCTATAAAAATAATTGTAGGATACAATAATGATAATTCAAATTTTTTTTTGACGACTGTCCAAGTAAAATAATATAGAACAAAACCATTCTAGGCTTGTAATAACAAAAGGCCTCGTTTCATATTTACGTAATTTCAAGATCCTTTTTTCGTTTATATTAACTCAATATGTATCATTATTTTTTAAGATATTGTCACACTTTTTTAAACTATAATAGGTAAATTAATACTCGCGATTTAACAACGTCAATTAGTATTGACACAACGGGATATGCTTTTTGTTTCAGTTGAGGAGCCCGGATGTACGTATTTACATTAAAAATGGTTGAAGAGATTATTTTATTTTAAAAATATTTCAATATAAACGAAGCCTTTGTTGCAGCTGGAAAAGGCTTTGTCAGTTCCACGAAAGGTCCCCAGGAACTGGCGGATAAGTTATTCGAAGCATTCTGTATGTTTAATATATAATTAAATTATTTATTTACAATGTTTGTTAGTTTATAATTTTTTATACGTGTATAATATATTATGTATTCAGTTTTTAGCACCAAGCGGTTTGTCACATTAAAAGGTAAAATGTATTATAAAAAGTATCATATGAATGTTTCATAAGAAGTAACTGTATCGAATATTATGTTAACATTGATAATTTTCGTTTAGACTTCGACATATCCGGCCTAGACGCCTTGCAAGCCCTCGCTATTGAAGGAGAACGTAAATATCATAGCAATATTATTTATTTAATTTTCACAATATCCCAATTCTGCGCATTTAAAGACTCGTTACACTAATTCCGAAAACAAATTTTCATCAATAAAAATCCATATGAAATAGATACCGAAGTGAAAATGAAAATATAATATAATTAAATTTTTGTAATAGCCGTAGACAAAACTCTAACAGAGGATGTGACCGAAGCGGCACAAAGGATGTACTTGCGAGGTGAGTAGTATTAAAAATAAAACTTGTGGTTATTTAAGAATATAACGATTACTTTTATTTAACGGCACATGAATCGTCATTTTCAGGACAGATAGTAAAAATCAACAAACCGAGAAAAAGTCAATATAAGTGTGAGTGAATTCTTTATTCTAGAGATATTTTTTTATAAAATAAAGTAATGCTAATTTTAATCTCTTTAAGTGGTAACAAAAACGGTTTCGAAGAAAGAAAGTAAAAAAAAATTAACAAAAGAGAAAAGACGAGGTAATTTTTCTATTATTATATAAACGACCGTCAACTCGCAGCCTAAAGCTAAATTCTTCTAGGAATTCCGCTGGCCAAGAAATTACCGAAACAGAGACATGTAATTGTCAACCAACAGAATACAAACAGAAGTCAAAAGATACGTAACAAAGATAATAAAAAGATAACGAGAAAGGGAATGAAAATCAATAAAAATATAAAGACGAAAACAACTAAAGTGGGTAAACGGTTGAAATCAGGTACGGGTAAGAATTTCGAGGAATATTATTATAATAGACTAAGTTGGAAAGTTTGTTTTTAATAATATTAAAGGTAAAGCGTCACCTAAATGCCGCTGGAACTACGTGTGTGTTGACCCAGCTGACCTGGACACTTGTAGGGTCCAAACATCATGTGGCGATACTAGCTCTACTATGTCTGGTAAAACTTTAGATCACTGATGTTCAATACAGTTATTATCGCGACGGGTCTTAATATAAATACATTTGCAGATTATAAAAGAGAAAGAGAAACTAAAGAAATAAGAGAATTCCGTAGAATGCGTAAGTATTGTGATACAAGATTATTTTATAATACTTATTTTTGTTTATTATAATATTATTGTGCTTCTATATAGTTGGTATCACTCACGTCGACGAGGAAGTCGAAAAGATATGTGAGTTATTCCTTAATTAATGACTGTTAATGTTTTCATAAATAGTTGTGGTAATTATAAAACCATTTCAGTGGAAGCCCGAAGCATGAAATTACGTCCGGCAAATTTAGGTAAGAATAATAATTGATGAAAAATTCATTCATTTTCATTATTTACTTTTGTTATTTATGTAACGAAAATACTATAATTTCTTTTAAACATCAGCTTTATAATAAATAACTGTATAAGGTGACGTTTATTTAAATGAAAATGTATTGAAATAAAATGTGTCTCAATTATAGAAGCAATCAACAAAGTGGAAAGTTTGTCTGAGTTCTTTAATAATATCATCGAGAGTGAAAACGGTGGTAAGTAGATTTTTATTTCATGTATAACTTAAAAATATCTTTAATATATAACGAAACTGAAAAAGAACACTTTTTCTTATAAATATTATTTCAGGCTTCACCACACCCATCGAACCAGATGCAAACGTCTAGAGTTATATACACTTGGCAGTTACAAGTTTATGTGTTTTGTTTTGAATAAAAAAATATTCATCAGATTTCATACGAATGATTTTTTTAAGAAACATTATGTTGGCTGAATATTATTGATTTTATTTTTAGGTATTAATCCTTTTAAAAGTAGCACAAGCAATTATATGGATATATGTAATAGTAAATATAACTAACTATACAAGATTTTTTTCCTATAGTCTTCTTCTACCTGGTAATTTCCCAGCTCTTAGCCAGGGTCTGCCTTACATGTTGTGAATAGTTTTGGCTAATTGTTTTAACGACTGGCCGTGTGCCTGACATCAACCCTCTTTGGGAATGCATTAATCAGTGATGTCTAAATACTCTTAGAAAGTACATATGCCTCGTAAAAATCACATTGGTACTTGCCAGGATCGAACCCGCGTCCTTGGCCACCATTGACTTATTTTTTTTTATAGTCTGCAGTCTAATATACATATTCAGACTATTTCTGCATCTATAATGTTTTAAATGAAGTAGTTATATATAAGTATCGGTCGCTATAAATAATAATATATTGTAATATAAAACCCAGTCAAAGGTGAGAGGTTACACACGAGGCTCTTTAAGTCGGACAAGGCCGACGTAGACACTAGACAGTAGTCTCAGTACGGAACCAACTGACGCTCCACCCATTCAGCCTTTATATCTCACAACAAAGAGAACAGTTTCATTGAGAAAGTTTAGATAAATGTTGGCGATTGAGCTTAGAACTGGGGTAGAAGTATAATGCAATTTTATTCTTTTTATTACAGACAAGGGCACTTTGTTAACTTTCTTAGATATCGTAGGCGGTAGACGTTTGAGAAGGTTGCGTTGTAACAATAAGAGCATAAAATGTATGAATTTTTTTTCGCTGTATCAGAATTAAAATAGGAATAGAAAAATATATTTTTTTATCAGAAGCGTTTTTTAAGCCGTTGTAATGAGTTCTCTCTGTATGTGCGTCGCTTCTAAAAGGTTTTATATTCATATAAATACAGCACTTCATTCTTAAAGCGTTCAAACCATTTTTGTGAAGTTCAATGTTCAATCATGACTCATTGGATTGTTATGTAATTATACAAAGGATACTAATATTAGAAATTCTTTCAGTTTATTCTTCTGGTTCGATAGTTTTAAGAAGAAAGGGTTCAAAACAAAGTTTTTGTGACGTTAAATACTTTTGTAGACAGTGACTTTATTGATCAATACGAGTATACTATTTTCATACATATGGTATAAATTTTGATCTGCCCATAGTATTGATGGCGCTATAAAATACTTCAGTGAAAGCTTTTAATATTTTAATGAATTAATCCCATAGTCAATGGGACTTTATTGGAAACGAGATTAAAATATAGATGACAAATAAAGGATTTTATGATAACTAAATATATATAAATATAAATAGAGATATATATATATATATATATTGACTTAAGTCAGCATCATGTGGAGTAAATTTTTGATCACTTTCGGTTTAATACTTTAAATCGTTTAAAATACATTTCTTATTCCAGATCTATAAATCGAAATTATATTAATACCAAGGCGTATGCTTTGAAAATAGTTCACATTATTATTAGAGTCGGTAACAAGAGTTTATAACCGAGTTAATTGTTTTTAGAGAGTATTATAGTTAAACTAAATTAAGTTATAGTAATGATTTAATCTCCACAAAAATAAATCTTAATTTCAAAGGACGATTCTCGTTAAAGTATAAAAATAAATATTTCATAAAACTGTCAACTCGCTAACGAGTGTACACGTCATTTTGTAATCATATATCAGATATAATTAATTAAAAACACATCCGTTCTTCATAATGTAAGTTTACTCACGGCTTATTGTATAAATTGATTTTGATTTCGTTGGAACGTGATTAAAATGTATGTATAAGTTATTATATGATGAAAACCCGAGTCCGCTGAATTGTTCTGAACAAGAAACGCTCGTTTAACGCTTCATACAATGACATTTCAATTTGACTTAACCGTGCTTGGATTCTGACGTTGTATGGTTAGTTTTGAGTCCAGGTATGCCGGTGACAGCTACAAATAGAGAAAATTCATTAAATTTTCTTGTACACACAAATAATATAACAGCAACAGGATATTATAAGGAATCTCGTACACGGGATGATTAATAAACGTAATTTCCAGGAGCGTGTCAGCATAGGGTTGCTCAAATTGTTATTTTATAATCGTTTATACGGCAGGTGAGTTCACCCAATTATGTTTCGATCAGAGGCGGGCGGCGCGCCGGCGGCGTGTGCGGTCGCCTTAACCAGATTATTGGCCGGCGGCAAACAGCCAAAGCCATAAACTCACCACAGACTACTTTTCTAACGAAATGTTTCTAATTAAACTAGCTTAGTAAATAATCTATCGACTAAGTCTTATCTATCCTCAACTAATACTTAATTTAAATCGTTTTCTTCTTGAAATTGAATTCAAATTTCAATACACATTGTGTAATAATACCGGCAGTTTGAATAAGAAAGTATATGTACATAAAACATTATTGAAAATTATGATCAAATAAATTAAATAAATATTGACTTCGGATAAAATGACTTCGCTTCTGTATAACTTGTCGCGACGTCAACTCCGTAATAATTTGATACAAATTCATCACAGCGCATTAGGGAGAAGCCAGGGTTACCGTTATGTTTAATATTAATTACATTGAGCAATAGACATAACAGAAAAAAAAATCACACCTCTTTAATTAAAATAATTATAATATTTTTGTTATAAAACATCTTTATAACTAGAGAAAAGCTGTTATAAAATGACGTATTTTTAACATAACGGAAAGTCAAATGTCTAGAATTGTATTGTTACTCTAAAAGCTTTTGATTGCTGTGTCATTGCTGATTTCAGATTGAAATACTCAAAGCTAATTTAAGCTGATTCTTACCTCAGATTATTATTGATGACCAAGTAACTATATGATGACGTATTGAAACATAACTTGCTTTTAATTCAAATCAATCATTTATCACATCAGTAGAAATTAACTTGAGATTACATTAAAACGTATTGACAAATATATACCGGTTTATTAAAGTCAGTTTACAGCCTAATACAATTCAATCTGTCAAAGGAAACTAACTGAATACAGTAATTAATAACCTTATAGATTCTGTGACGATAACTGACCCGGACGGCTCAACGTGATCCTTCGAGCGGTACGGATATTAAGAGGAGTACATTCGACACTTCTATAGGTAACATCTTTAATATACACCCGTATTTCTTATAGACATATCTATATATCGCTTTACGCGGACAAGAACAATTAACAGACAAACATCTCGTCTGCCTGTGATCATGGTTGCTGAAAAGTAACCGAAACATCACGAGTTTAAAGTTTTTACAATAATAAAATACGCGTTCTATAATCCGAACAATATAAGTTTCATTAAGATTGCTCAATGCAATTCTGTATGTAGAAGTAACAAAGAACTCTCATTGAAGTAAAATATTATTTGAATACAATAATTCAGTTAGGAAAGTAACAAATCAAGTAGGTGACACAAGGAATTAATATTACAGATTAGACTGCGGAAGAAGTAAAGAGATTAAACAGTTTGTAGGAAGATTCTCGTTTCATGTGTTGACATAACAAGCACATAATTACAGCAATGCCACCTGTGCAATAACAAAAATTAACACGTATATACATATGTATTTAATGCTATTTTTAAGTCACATGGAAAGTTAAAATAAATGTATATTTTTTTGCTTTCATTGGGTCAAATAAACAATATAGCTGTCAATTTTTAAAAAAATTATTCAAATATGATAACTAGAATTAAGGGGTAAAAATATTGTATCATAATTTTAAATGTTTTTCAAAATATTTTATCATAAAATATAATTTACAAAACTTAAAGATATTTTTTAAAATCGTTCTTATATTCATAGAAGATATATTTTTCTTTCGTTATTATTAAGAATAAAATTACGACGATGTTAATTTAGTTCTGCAAAAGTAACACTATTCTAACATTATGTACTTAAGTGTAAATGCCATATTTGTACATTTGATTAATAAGGAAATAGACAATTGTTATCCTGTCTAGTACGGGGGTATAATATATTAGTTTGAAGGTTACGCTATTATAGAGCTGTTCATCGGATATTGGCTTCAACTATAAATACTAGATAGAACTCACAAAGCAAGCCTGTTGCAATCTTTTTAAAAAATAAAAGAGGAGGCGTCATCGATGCGGAAATTCTGATAGCTGGCTACATTGAAATACGACGTTTCTTTGTTG